ATCCAATAAAATATAACTAAATAATTGTCCAATAAAAATGCAAGTATAAAATAACTAATATTAATAAAATATATATATAAAAATCTATATTATAACAATATGAGTATGATCTCTTTAGAAAAGCTACAGTTTTTGCAATAAGAAAATATCAATCTCATCACCAAGTTCCAACAAGTATTTTAGAGAAGTTTGATTATTTGCAATAAATTAAAGTATTAATTAATTCAAGTATAGAAAATAGGAATTTATCAGATAGTTAGTTATTATTAAGAGAAATAGAAGTTTAATGAAAATTAGAGAATGTTATTCAAGCTATTTTATAGAGCTTGGGATCGCTGATTTATTATTTTTTAATTATTACTCTTGTGATTTATTATTTCTTAATATTGATCTTTGAGCGACAACTCGTATTAGTCACGTGTTGTTAAATAAACCAATAATAATCTTTTCACGTGATGCATGTGACCACTGAAATTCTCGACTTTGGTATGATAATAATTATTAAAGTATCGTTTATAAAATTCTAACTACTCACAAATTTATTAATACATTTTTAAAAAAATACATATAATTATAGATGTTATTAAGAGCTATCTAACTATGTAAGAAAATTTACTCCCCAGATCTGCGTGACTGATATTGCAAATGGCTTAGTCGCATCAAATGGTGCATTTGACGAATATACCACCACCCGATTCGTCTAATCATGACGAATCGAATGGTGTGCGATTACGATCGCTGAGTGATGGAATATCACACGTAAAAGTCACAATACACCATATTGTGATCGATACCCAGTGATCGAAATCGCCACCATTTGATTCGTCTAGTTATGGGGTATTTTTTATGTAATTATACTAATCACGTGATGTCATATTTCGTAAATTTATAAAGTAACACAATTTCATATCGTTAAAAACGAGAATAATGAGAACACCTCGTAACGGTAATAGTTACTGTGTAAAGGTTATTTATCATTAATAAAAATTCGTTAATTAATATTAGTCAAGTAGCTCATAAACTATAAAAAAACCTAATAAACAAACACAAATCTCGTCTGTTTAACTAGGGACGTCAAAAACAAGTCGAATAATGATTCAAAAAAAGCAAATACAACAACTAACTGAATCATTGAAAAATCGATAAGATACTGTTAAATCACCTTCAACAAAATTTTTAACATTGTTATAGAGAGCCAATTGTCAGAGAGCTAATCATTTTTAGTAATATCATTCCAAAGCGCAATCATTGCATCACTAGTTCCAATAAACGATCCCACACTCGCAAAAATCAACACGAACACAACCCACAATTTCTCATAAACCCCGCGCAACTGATCCCACCCAAACAACTTTATCCAAGTTGACACAGGTATCACCACTACCAATAACCCATTTGCCATTGCACCCAGCAACGCCATCACATCGGCGAAATACGGAGCGGTAATTGCAAGCCACACAACCATCACCATTGCGGCGCTGCGTAATAATGTCCGATACAGGAATTCGCGACGTCTTCCGACTTTTGCGACAGTAATGCCTAAGCGTCCTTCAATTTCGAGGCAAATGGAGGTGAGGTAGATGGTGAGGGCAAGTAGAACGTGTGCTGTTATCATTATTATTGAGATGGTGACTGTCCAGCCGTCTGGCAGACTTAAATAGATTGGCGAGAGGGTCTGACGGCCATAGGTGAGGTATGCAGGAATTCCGATCAGTAAGTACATTAAAGTTACTGAGGCGATTGCGGAATAATTAACTTTTGGCCATGCCGATGGGTCTTTCATACTATAAAATATGTAATTTTGTTGTTAGCTAATACTGATGGCATTAGATAATATTTAGAAACAACCAAGAGACGGTTACCCAGCTTCTACATTAGGAAAGACCACGTTTCCACCGTATCCAAAACTAAAAGTTCCCATTGCAATTGGAATATTCCGAAGATTAATAGTATCGTGTTCACTATTTGGGTGATTCGGATAATCTACAACAGAAGAATAGCTCACAATCACAACTACAAGAATAGCCGTCAAAACACCAAATAAACTATTGTAAAAGTAACCAAAAAAATATAACAATTAGACACTCGAAAGATCATTCATTATAACGACAGCAGTTGCAACAACCTTATCCACGCAGCTTCTTTCATGTTTTTCGATAATACAAAAGGAACCGTCATCACCGCCGCACAAAGATACACCCAATCCTCCATTCTTAGAGCAACGTTATTACGAAACAACTTGTAAAAATTTTGCCCAGCTAGAATCAAGTAAAGAATTGCACACCCGAACGAGAGAGAGGTATAGAAAAAGCCGATGACATATAAACCTAGTTTTCCAAACGCGTCGGATGCCAGCTCTGGCATTGATAACTTACGAGTTTTTCTGGTTTAAAGAATTAAGTAATTATATTTGTCAACTACAACTCGAATGAAAGAAATAGTAAAGAGATTAAGTTGCTTACCCATCATGATATAGACTTTCTATTAGTTTATTATTTGAATAGACGGACATCACAGCTGAGAGCAACAGTACTGCTAATGAGCACCATCCTCCTTGGGATAATGCATACGGAATACCCAGAGTACCAGACCCAACTACTACACAACTGCAAACCGAGTTAGTGAGCACAAAGAGTAATCGAATTCAGACGAATAACTATGAAAGATAACGGATCAAACGATGAAAAGAACTTTTATTTAATCAATAGTACTTACAAATTTATTTATGTGAGTAGGGGTAGGGAGGATAAGAAGGGTATAGCAACTTACACGATATGCACATATGCAGTCCAATTTGACCCTTTCTCCTCAGGTGTGAGTACAAAGACATCTGGTGTTGCTTCTTCGTCCTCGATAATAACATTTTCTGGTGATGCTGACGAATAACAAACACAAATTTTGAATAAAAGTTTATCTTCTCAGAGGAAACCATCTAGAGTTATCATTACGGTAGGAGCTAATTACCTGTAGGCACAGCACCATAATTTGGCTTTTTAACAGCGGTAATATTATTATAATCTACGCTAGACATGCCTTATTTAAAACAAGATTTCCCACTCAAATATGTGAGCTATCACATCGAGGCAGTGAATGTATTTTTATACTTTTTATTAATCATGTTCAAAAAAGTCAATAATTATCGTTATCTCTCATAATACATGCACATCAAAAATTTCTTCACACTCAAAAAATTTGAGGTTCCCAAAAATGTCTAACTCCTCTAAAAACAACAGTAAAAATAATACATCAGCCTCTACCATTATAACAATGAACATTCCCATTACCCAAAATAATGATAGTAGCAATAATCTTCTCGATATGATAACAGACCCAACAGACTTTACCAAAACAAACCTACAAAACTTTGACTCCCTGTCACGATGTCCAATCTGCAAAGATTTCTACGAAATACCAGTACTCGTTGATTGCGGACACTCATTCTGTTCATTGTGTATTCGGCGATCGATTGTTGCTTCGGAGGCGGTTTGTCCTATTTGTCATGTGGCGATTAAAGAATCTCAGTTTCGAAAAAATGAAGTTGTTGAGAGGACTGTAAACTTTTGGAAGATGATGAGGTATTTTTATTCCAATCAATCCATTACTCTACCCATAACGATGATTTTATCTTATATCATCGTGATCTTATTAAATTAGGCCTCTCATGTTAAAACACGACCAAGATACCACCGAACACGTCTAGCACTTCTTGAGATCTCATTTAGCACGACTTGTACTAAACCAGATTAGGCAATTAAACTTGTTCTAAAACAAATTAGGAAACTAAACAAATGATAACATAATATAAATAAATGAGCAATTCAAAAGTTAACAGATCATTTGATTATTAATTAGATCACACGAGTCGCCATTTAAACAACGTGATAAATGGTAGATAAATGGTGCTTCCCCAAAAAAACGTGTCAAACCTGCATATGAAAATCTCATGTAATACTCGGAAAAATTTAGATATTTCTTTAGAGTCGAATTGTCTGGTAATAACTAAAAAAATTTGTAAGAATGTCTGTTTCAGAAAAGGTTGTTCAGCTGTTTAAGGGTAAATAATTCAAAGAAGTAACTCCTTTTATAGTTCTAATAAAGGAAATAAGATCAAATTAATGTCAGCTCTTGCCAATAATTTTAGTATAAAACTTCGTTTCAACGCATTTTTTTTAAATCAAAAAAATAGATAACGACAAAGCTGTGATAACGGCCGCATTATTCGCACTTGTTGGTGCATCGGTGGTAACGCGTAGAGTATTCAGTCTTCTAAAACTACTGTTTGATGTGTATATTCGACCAGGAAAAAGTGTGAGTTGAATATAATTCATCAATTTACAAATGATTGTTTCAATTTACAAATCTGATTATTGATAATCGAATATAAATTTTTAAAAGCTAAAAAATTTTGGTGCAGGACGAGGAGCATGGGCCAGTAAGTTTTTTTTTAAATTTATTGTTTTTTTGTGATAAAATTAATTATATTTTGATTTTCCAAAAGTTATTACTGGAGCATCTGATGGCATCGGTAAAGAATTCGCGTATCAACTCGCGCAGGCAAAATTCAATTTACTTTTGATCTCACGCACAGAATCAAAATTACAAGCTCTTGCAAATGAAATTGGTGAGATTCTTTTGACTATCTAATTAAAAACAACAATAACAGCATAAAAATGCTAACGAAATAATTACTCATTTTATCATCATCATAACACGAATTAAAAGAGCAAAAACATAATGTCGAGACAAGAATCTATGCAATGGATTTCAGCAAAGGTATTCCAGAAAATCTCAAAGAAATTATTAACCAACTCGACGTGGGTGTTTTGATAAACAATGTCGCCACAAACCACGAAATTCCGACTCCGTTTTTCTTGGAGAATGATCAATTGATTGATAATATTGTCGAGGTGAATATCGCATCGGTTTTAAGGATTACCAAGATTGTTATTCCCATTATGAAAGCGAAGTTTGTATTAAATTTATTGAGTTATCTATTATTGTTATATGATATATATACGTATTTATTATTGAATTTTGTGAATGAATTTAGAAATCGAGGACTCATAATTAATTGTGGCTCGTTCAGCGGATACGTCCCTTCGCCATATTTATCTGTCTATTCGGGGTCTAAAGCATTTTTGAGTACGTGGTCAGCAGCAATTGGAATGGAATTGAAATCTAGTGGAATAACGGTTGAATGTCTAAATACATATTTTGTGGCAAGTGCATCTTTTTTAAATGCGCAATTTTAGAGCTATTATCCAATTTATATATTATTAATTGATAAATTGATTGATTTTAACAGGCTACAGCAATGTCAAAAATTCGACGTGCAACATGGCTTATTCCGTACCCGAAACCATATGTAAAAGCAGTGCTATCAAAAATTGGCGTACCTGGTGGTGCTAGCGCTATCCCATTTGGATCTAATGCTTATCCGTCACATGCGCTTGTTAATTGGCTTATTTCTTACACGTTTGACATGCATTTCTGGCTGCGACGAAATTTCGGTACTTTATCTTTTTTATGTTGTTACTTATTAATTCTCTTTATATAATATTAAAAGATTTTTTTTAAATTAAAAAATAATAGAGCATCAAACTGATATCAGAAACCGTGCATTGCGAAAACGCGAGCGTGAAGCAGCAGCTGCCAAATCTCAATAATTTAATCAATTATAAAACACGTACAAATATTTTTGTCCAAGAATTTATTTACAATACTCTTTTTCTTATCATTTGAATAACAAAAGTAGTTTTGAAAACATTCTATACTTAAATATCATTTGATTTGATTTAAATATTATATATGTTGTGCCTCAGATCGCTTTTGCTTGACCCAAATTAGAATAGCGATAGGGATTCTACTAGAGTTAGGGTTAGAATTAGTACTGGGTGCAAAGCTAAAGACAACCACAAAATTTCAATCCTCTTGATTAAAACTCGTCATTATTTGATAAAGACTTAAAAAAACATGACTGCAATTAGTTTTTCCAAATTCAAATATAAAGAGTTATAAGTATTCAATAAACTCGTGGTATAATGAATTTTTTACTTACATCTATAAATTGTTGTCATGCAAAGGACTTTTTTAAATTTCTTTGGGATCAACCCCTTAATGAGAGGAACACTAAAGCCGGGCAGTGCAATTCGAATCGAGTCAATTTAGATATGATCTGGATTGATTTGATTCGGATTGGCAAGTCATGTCACATGCGAAAGAAATAAATATTACTTATTACAAAGATAGCATTACTTTTTTTAAAGAGAAGAGGAAGGAAAAGATTATTAAGAATATATTTTTGATGAAATGCAAGCTATAAGTATTATAATAACTTATTATTTCTAATATTATTTTATTTCTTTAATATATATACTTAATATTTTTATATTAAATGTGTGTTGTAATAATAAGCATATAAGAAATTAATTCTATATATACTTACTATTTCTAATATCATATACTCTTTATTTTATTTCTCTATTATATACTTAATTTTTTTTTAGTTTAGTTTGTTAACTTTTTCATTTTATTATTTTATATTTTATAATATATTCATTATCATTTTTATATTTAAATTTTCTAATATTATTATTTTAATTATATTATAAGTGATTAATTAAAAATATGCAAAACTATTTAATATTAACATAAGTAAAAATAATATAATTATATTATTTTACTTAGTTTAGGTTATGATAATGTTATCAGATTTTTGTCATTATAATACAGATAATAGTATTAGATTTCTGTCATTATGATATAGATAACAGTATTAGATTTCTATTTTCATAATACATATGATATATTATATATCAGGTTAATAATAGTAGATAATTTTAATTATCAGACTATATATAATATAATATATATTAGTTTGATGATTATAATTAATTTTGATTATAAAATATTTTCTAATTTAGATTATGATGAGTCATAAGCAACTATCCTATATGATACTTTAAAACTTCTAGATTTTTAAATTTGATATTATTTTTATATATATTAGATTAGTATTCATGATTAATTTTTATTATAATAAAATAACTAATTTAGATTATGTTATCTAATTATTTTTATCATGAATTTAATAATCTGATTGTAATTATATTATCATTTATAAAGATATATAGTTAGAATATATACTATTAGATATATTATAATATATTATTAAGTATATTATATATATATTATCTGATTATATTATCAATTAATATTACTAAATATATATACTAAATATATTATATAAATATTATTGATAATATTATTATATATATACTATTAGACTATATTATTAAAAAATATTATTAAGTATATTATATAAATACTTTTAAAAAATATTATTCAATTATGCTATCAAAAATACTATTAAAATATAATCACTTATATTTATTATTCTAGAATATACTTAGAATAAATTTACTTATGTTCAAGAAAAAAATTATTTAGATTCTATCTAGATAAAAATATATTAACTTAAATGAATGATATTATGAAAGAAAAAGATTTATAATTCTATCTAAGTTATCTAGATAAAAAATAGAATTCTAGAAAAAAAATAAAACTCTTTTCTATAATATATGATATATATCTTATATATTTTATATATATATTCTATATAGATAGATAAAAAATATAAGAGTAAAAAAATTAAAAATTTATTTAGATAATCTAAATAATCTAAATAGCTAGTCTAAAACTCTTTTTATCAGTCCAAAAATATTATTAGCTATTTTTTTTATATCTAAAAAATCTATTCAAGTAAACTAGATATATCCTCTTAATTTTTTTTATCAGTTTAATATTATTTTATATTATTTTCTTTAGCTTTTTATAATAATATTATTTTATTTTTCAGTATTTTCTAGCATAAATATTACAAGTATCATATTTAAAAAAAGTTAACTTATTATAATCTTTGAAAGAAATATATATAGGAGAATCTTAATAAACTTAATAACTCTCAAATTAATAGGTATTCTAATTATAAACTTTTTCAGTTTTAAGAATATAGAAATAATAATAAAATATTATATTTATAATATAATTATTTTACAATATTTAATAATATATATTAATTACTATATTCTGAAATTAATTTTCATTTTGAACTTTTTTCTCTTAAATAATATATTATTAAAATAATATAAGTATCCAAAATATATCAATAAATTTATTTTATAATCTTTTAAAAATTTCAAGCTAAAGATATTAATACAAAGTATTAATTCAGAGCTAAAGATAGAAAAAGAAAATAATAAAGTATTTATCTAAAGATAGTATTATAACTTGATCATAATTCTTTGATTAGCTATTATAATTAATTACAATTCTCTGATTAATTATTATAAGTTATAATTAATTAAGATAATATCTTTAATTCTATTACTAGAACTTCAAAGCTTTTTCTCAATCACAGATTTTGAAAAGTAAGAAGATAAATCAGATATTTTATTATAATAGAGAAGAATATTTATTATTTCATTTCAGTTAAAATAGTATAGTTAAAAAAAATAAAAATTAAAGATAATGCAGCAAGTATATAATACTTATTTATTATCTATTACAACAAATTGCAACTCTAAAATTTTATAAGTTATAACTAGTTATAATTAGGTAATACTTTATTTATTATCATATTGTAATAATTAAGAAGTCATTTTCATAAAAATTATAAATTAATAGTAACTATTAAATAAGTTTTAATTATTAAAAAAGATATTTTATTTATATCTGCTAATATTAAAAAATATAATAAATATATAAATAATATATTTTATAATTATATAATTTACTTATTAATAAAAAGAAAATAATAGTAATAATTTTAATATAAAAGTTTTCTTTAATATTCATATTTTTGATAATGAAAATATAAAATTTGAGTTTAAGATAAAAGATATTTTTATTAAAAAAAAATAGTAAAGAAGAAACTATAGATATAAATCAAGTTCAAATAAAATATAAGAAGACTTTTCTAATCAAGAAATATTATCCAAAAAAAGATATATCTATATATTATTATAACTACTTCTAAATAAAAATTAATTATTCTTAATATTATTCTAAAATATAATTCAGAAATTATGAAAGTAAAATAGAAATATAAACTGAAAACTATTTTAGATAATATAAGTACATATTATTAAAAAGTCACTAGAGAATATAGAATATTACTTTTTGAATAGATTTTATTAATTATAAATATAATAATGATAGAATATTTTACAGTACTCACTCTTTACTTTGCTCAAATACTTTTATATTTCTATCAATAATTACTATTTTATAGAGAATCTTATAGTATTATATAAAATCTATCCTTTTTTACTTATTACTTATAATTAAATATTAGTTCTTATATAAGATATCAAAATATATTTAATATACAAATTAGATTATTTTCCTATTATAAGATGTAAAAAAATAATTTATTTATAATTTATATAACTATTTATTAGAATGATGATTCAAAATTATTAAAATAAATTTGTTAAGTATTATAAATTATACTCTAAAAGGTAGATTTTATCATGAATATAATTTATAATAAGTTTTGAGAGTGAAAACTAAATTATTTATAAAGATAAAGAGAATTATAATTATTCTAAAGATTTTCAAGTACCAATACTTATAAGTATTATATTAATACAAGGCAAAAATAAAATAAATAAAAATGAAGTTATGATCACAAAAACTAAACTAAAAGTAGATACCAAAAAAAAAATTAAAGCAATAAATATTATAACTAAAACAAAAAATTTAGTATATTAACTAAATCTTCTAATAGTATCTTTTTAATTATTAGATAAATAAAGAGTATATATCAAAATAAAATAAAGCTTTTATACATAAAAAAACTTACAAGAATCTCCTAAATCAAATAAATATACTTGGCTTATTTTAAATAAAAGACATTCATTATCTAAGTTTTTCAGATAAGAAAAACTTGTAAATAATCAGAATATAATTTATTATAATAGAAGAAATAAATAAAAGTAAGATATCAAGATAAAAATTAAAGAAAAATCACAAAATAAGTATTGTTATCATAGTGATATAAAATTCCTTAATCTCTTAATCTTTCTCTAGTTATGAAATACTACATTTTATTATAATTTTATTTATTTTATAATTATTACTATTTTCTATATCATTTATTACTATATTTATTATTATGTTT